AACCATTTGATAATCTTCTTTCTAACCACTTCTTTCATGGTTGGATTTATTCTTTGTTGATGTTCATTCAAACTACTATTAGGGTCTTCCAAAATAATTTTATGCATGCAAAATTATGGACTAATGCCTTTTATATCGCAATGCTCCAAGCAATAGCTTTATTGTACTACTTCAGCACAGCAATCAACTAAGCTTTCTAAGATGATGTAATCTATGTTGCCACAATAACTGCCAGTGTTTCATTCTCTCCAAGGTATGCGTTCTTTAAATGCTCTGATAATGATTTCAATTCAAGCATAGATGGTTCCTCAATAGATGGCTTTGGAGCTCAAATAACATGATCAAACATTTTTAGTGGTTCAATATTCTATATAAAATTACTATAGCATTCACCCTCGACATCATCAAATAATTCTTCAATTGCTACGAAATTACTAGTGACTATGTCTATGCTGAAACATTTTTCTAAGTGCTTCTATGCAAAAATATCAGTTACATCAAGTGAGAAACATTCTCCACAATCATTTACATAAGAAACAACATTCAAAATATTAAAAGTAATATGCTTCTCGTTTAAGAAGACGGTCAACTCTCCCTTTTCAACATCAATTAAAGCTCGGCTCGTGGAAAAGAATGAGTGACCAAGAATAATAAGGATATCTTTATTTTACTCACAATAAAAAAATGATGAAGTTCGTCGAAAAAATGAACTTATATACTCTTACAAGCATGTTCTCCACAATATCACTAGAATGCATGGTAGAGCGATCAATAAGTTGTAAAGTGATCGTAGTAGGCCTAGCTTCACCGCTCCTATATTTCCTATATTTCCTAAGCATGTTCTCCACAAATTCTGAGATTGATTGTTTTATCGTTTAATCATTGAACCTGAAATTATTTCTTATCAATCTTCTAGTGTCTTATATGTGTAATGTGAGTCTTATTTGGTTTAATTGATTTTCATCACATTTGGATCGAGTTTAGAATATATTAATTACACACATGTAACCAAACATATCCATCTATGCATTAACCAATGCCAACATGTTCCATAAAGTATACATAAGGTAGTAATGTATTACCTCAATTTTTTATCCATAATAGTTAACCAATTACACTCCATTTGATCACCCTCGAACTGTATTCCACATCCTATAATGTTTCGGATACATGGAAAAACCAATTACATTAGAAAGGGAACTTAAGCATGAAAATTCGTATTGAATCAGGAGATAACATGCAAAAAACAACTTACTAAATTTGAATTTGGCAAAACAAACTTCAGATTCAGACTTAGGACGTCGAAAAACATAAAATAGGACTTTTTGGAAAATTTGACTTTCGGTCAAGATCAAAGTTAACGGGCAGGTTAACGGTGATGGGTAGGTCAACGGTTAGGTCAAAGTCAACAGTTCATGTCAAGATCAACGATTCAGACAGGTTCAGTTTAACTCAGGTTGGTTTGGGTTGACACGTACCAGTTCAAATCAGTTTGGGCTAGTTATGTCCAACTAGACCATTTATAGAAGGTTTCTATGGCAAGGACGAGCCCCACATGCATACGGTAGTGCGTGGCGGCATGTGGCAGTGATGACACATTTGAGGGACGGCTGTCGAGCACTTTGGGAGAATACAAACACCAATAACAACCCAAAACAACATATATTCAAGCCAAAACACTGGGAAAAATAACTAAATCAAGTGATGGGAAGCTTACCCACAGTGGATGGTGAATGTCGATGGTGGACGACAAACCCGTTAGATTTTGGGGGCATGGTAGCAAGGATTTCGACTGTGGTGGAATTGAGGTGAGTTGATGACCAAAGCGATTGGAATCAAAGAATAACCGAGCGGCGGGGTAGGGATTTCGACGAACATTAGTGAGCTCCACCCGGCGAAGGTGGCAGCTAGTACCTATCGGCCATAGGTGTTTTGGTTAGATGACAATGACGTTTTGAATGAGGCTGACGACGACATAAATCGATGATCGATGAACGTAATCGATGGTAGGGCAAATCAATCCACTTCCTCGCTTTGTCATGACAAACGATGATCGCTCTGGGTAAATCAAGGGTCGAAATCAAGTTAGAGGATGCTGCTGGTAGCGACGACGTACACCGACGACGGTCAGAATGGGGTGAATCGTCGGGGAAAACTTGAGCACAGAGAGGTTGTTTTGGGTTTCACGAATGGGGGTTCTGATTTTGGGTTTCACGAATGGGGTTTTGATTTTGGGTTTTTGAGTTATATATCCCAAACCAAAATTATTATAAATTATATATATTAAAATAATCTTAAATAATGACTTAGGCCAGTTGGTAGGGTGATGGCAAACTATACTTTAGGTCATGGGTTCAAACCTCCCAACCATCCATTTATTTTATTTTTGGTGTTAGCTAATATTTTTGGTTTTGGGTAAATCACGCGGTTAGTTCCTAAACTTCCTATATATTCAAACTTGACCCAAAAATCTTCATAATTATCTATTTTGGTCCCTTAATTAAATTAAATAAATAAATTATTTTTTTAAATTAAATTTGGGGTGTGACATAAGTTATTCAAACAATTCTCAAAATCCTAGCCAAACACAGAGAAATCATCTACAAATACCTCAAGATAATATACAATCATATCAGAGAAAATGACCACTATGTAGCGCTTCAATGGGAAGTGGTCTTTTCTCGTCGCTTTATTGAGCTTCCTAATTTCTATACATATTTTCCAACATGTAGTGGTTCTCGTTGGCACTAATTCATCTTTATCATTTTTTACCACAGTAGTGTCACCTTTCTTTGAAACACAATGCACAGAGCTAACCCAATTGTTGTCGAAATTGGATATATAATTCCAGCATCTAACCATTTGATAATCTTCTTTCTAACCACTTCTTTCATGGTTGGATATATTCTTTGTTGATGTTCATTCAAACTACTATTAGGGTCTTCCAAAATAATTTTGTGCATGCAAAATTTTGAACTAATGCCTTTTATATCGCAATGCTCCAAGCAATAGCTTTATTGTACTGCTTCAGCACAACAATCAACTAAGCTTTCTGAGATGATGTAATCTATGTTGCTACAATAACTGCCAGTGTTTCATTCTCTCCAAGGTATGCGTACTTTAAATGCTCTGATAATGATTTCAATTCAAGCATAGATGGTTCCTCAATAGATGGCTTTGGAGCTCAAATAACATGATCAAACATTTCTAGAGGTTCAATATTCTATATAAAATTACTATAGCATTCACCCCCGACATCATCAAATAATTCTTCAATTGCTACGGAATTACTAGTGACTATGTCTGTGCTGAAACATTTTTCTCAGTGCTTCTATGCAAAAATATCAGTTACATCAAGTGAGAAACATTCACCACAATCATTTACATAAGAAACACTATTCAAAATATTAAAAGTAATATGCTTCTGTTTAAGCAGATGGTCAACTCTCCCTTTTCAACATCAATTAAAGCTCGGCTCGTGGAAAGGAATGAGTGACCAATACTAATAAGGATATCTTTATTTTACTCACAATAAAAAAATGATGAAGTTCGTCGAAAAAATGAACTTATATACTCTTACAAGCATGTTCTCTACAATATCACTAGGATGCATGGTAGAGCGATCAATAAGTTGTAAAGTGATCGTAGTAGGCCTAGCTTCACCGCTCCTATATTTCCTAAAGATTGACAATGGTATTAGAATTATGCTAGGACCTAAATCACATAAAGCTTTACCTACAGATGTATCATCAATATTGCAAGGAATAGTAAAACTCCTTGGGTCTTTAAGCTTTGGTGGTAATTGACTTGTAGCCATAGCGCAACATCCTTCGGTAAGAGCGACGGTCTCAAATACACCAAGTCTCATTTTCTTCGAAAGAATTTTCCTCATGAATTTGATGTAGTTTTGGATTTCTCTAAAGCATCAATCAACAGGATTTAATTGTGAGTTGGCGAATGACATCAATAAAAGCTTTATATTGTTGATCTTCTTTTATCTTTTTAAAGTTCTTTGGAAATGGTTGAGGTATCTTTGGGATATCACATGTGTTGTTGTTGGCAATGATTCAAAATTACAACACTATCTTCATCTGATGTTGTAGTATGACGCACAGGTGGCTCATACTCAACTTTTTTGCTCTTTCCTTTACCATGCTCATGAACCTCCGCATCTTTTTTCCTAGGTTCCTCAATCGGATCCCCATATGAATTACACTCTTATAGTAATAGCCTTGCAATGCTTTTTACCATTATGTTTTGGATTTTTAGTATCACTAGGCAACGTTCCATGCAACTAATTATTGAGAGCATTAGCCATTTGTCCCATCTAATTTTCTAGAGCCTGTAATGATGTTGATTAGCTCACCATGTACTCTTTCATCAAAGCTTCAAGAAATAATAAAGTTGAAGTTTGGGTTGAAGATTACCCCTGATAAGTTTGCCTTGGTTGTGGCTGAGCAACTAGATGGTGTTCTTGTGGCTGCGGCATTGCTTACTACTGCTGATAATGTTGCTGCTGTGGATTGGCAATATTCTAAATTCTCTAAGAATGATTGCATGATTCCTAAAATTACCATTATATGGGTTGCCAAAAGAATTGTCATTCCTTTGATAATTCTGCACATAGTAGATAGACTCCGGATTTTGGCGGCATTCATCAAAATTGTGGTAATCGCCACAGTAAACACGAGTGATGAGAGATACAGACTTGACTTCATACATTACCCCTGGTTTTTGTAATTTCTTCACCATATCCGTCAATACTAAAATAAGACGCCATAGAGTTGAAAGCTTCAGATTCTATTGCTGCATCATTATGTCAACCAAATATATTTCTCGTTTTAGGGTATTGGCAATCATTAGTTGATATCCTCTCCAGAATATCATAAGCTTCATTATTTGTCTTATTTAACAAAGCTTTGTTTGCTTATGCATCGACCACCACACGAGTGTGTATATTTAACCTATTATAAAACATCTTCATTTCAGTCCAATGTCGGAACCCATGCATTGGACACTTTTGTAGTAATTCTTTAAATATTTCCCATGTTTCATACAAGCTTTCATCCTCCATTTGCTTGAATGAAGTTATATCATTTTGGAGTTTTTTATTCATTTTTTGCGGGTTGAATTGCAGTAAAAATTTCTACGCTAACTTATTTCAGGATTCTATTGCACCTGGTGGTAGTGAACTCAACCAAGCTCTTGCTTTATCACGCAATGAATAAGGAAATAGCTTCAACTTTAGTGCCTCCTCTGAAACACCTTGCTAAATATATGAATCATAAACTTCCATGAACGCTCTCAAATGAGCCCTAGGATCTTCAGCCATAGACCCTCAATATTGTCCTATTCATTATAACATTTGGAACATGACTGTCATTTACTCAAAGTTCGCGACATTAATTATTGGCCTTACTATGCCCGGATGTAGATCATTCAACTTCAGTACTACATTCTTGTGGATAGGTCGATCATGATCATCCATGTTATTAAATGGTTATCCCACTCCAATGCTAGCCAGTAACTCACCATCATCTTCATTCTGCAATAGGGGTAAAACACCATTCCCTCATTCAACCATAGTTGTTTTATTTCCTGTGGCTTTCGACGACGTCTCCTAAAAGTCCTTTCAATCTCTGGATCAAACAGCTCTAATTCTTCGTCGTTGCAAGGCATACACCAGTAGAAATGAAAGCTAAAAAGTACATACAAAATAAAATAACAAAGTAAGCAAAATAAGAACAACTCTAAATCTAACCGATTCTTCTTCGCAACGGTGCCAAAAACTTGATACTTGATCAATTTTACACAATTTCCAACCAATTCTAAACTTGCGATTTGGGTCCCCAAATTTACCCAACTTATAAATTGATACAAAAAAATGTTCCAACACCAAAATCAATATTTAATTGCTAAATTCCAGCATGGACCTTCATTAATTAAGCAATTAAAATTATTACCTAATAATTTCTAAAGTATGCAAAATAATCCCTACATATCCACCAAGTTCCAAATTGGTCCAATTAACCTTCCAAAACATGTAGTAATCATTCTAATATCAATTATACACCATAGGAAAAATTTGTAAAATTTCCCTACTTTAATTCAATTAGGTTGAATACCTAGGAAGAAAATTCAATTATTTCCAACTTGTTTCAAGCATGAATTGAAGCTCCTAACATCAATTCCACGCAATTCCAATCAATTCCATATCAATTCAATCCAAAATCAATATTTCCATAAAACCTAGGTCATGATCAAATCCTTATTTATAAAATTCCAATTGATTTCAAGCATCCTACACACTTGAAAACAACTCTACAACACAATTAACATAGAAACAAATCCTGAAATCACCAAACTCCAACTTGTTCTTCATCTACCATAAAAACCAACTGGATTATCAAACCAAGAAATTCATGAAATGACTATACCAAATGATAGAGAACTAATTAGATTATTTCCATATTTCACACTTTAGTCCAAAAACTCAAAGAATTGGCTTAAAAATAAAATTGAAAATTTTTACCTTTGCTAATGGAGTTCACGGCCTTAAAGAGGAGATGAGAAAAATTTTCTTGAAATTTCCACTAAAATATCTAATTATACGTATCTTTATACTAATTTAATGAATTTAAAATTCATTAAAATGTAGTTTACCATTTTACCATTAATGAAACTTCAAAATTTCTTATATTTCATTGCTTTTACTTTATCTTGAAAGTCAAAGATGAACCAAACATCTCATAATTTTCACTTTATCCTTGTAATTTTTGAAAATTATAACTTAGTCACAAAAATTACACAATCTTGATTTAACATGGAAAATTAATCTTAATTCTAATAATCCATGTTAAATTTCACCCTTATAAATTATGAAAATAATATTTCTAACACTTCTCCATCATCCTTCAGAATTTCTCAAAATTATAATTCGATCTGATTATCTAAATTTTTACCGGACTTTATTGTTTTATATCTTTTTGTACAAACTCATAATAAAACTTCTGATTCCAAGACAATGTTAATTCCATAGTAAACTATTCCTTTACAAGCCAAAATGCATAACTTTTAAAAATTACATTTTGGTTTATAATATTTTCTAAGTTTATACTTTGGTCCCACTAAACTTTCAAAATTTATATTTTGATCACTAACTAAAATTTGGGGTATTGCATCAAAAATCTCTCCCTTTTTTATATAACAAAACATTTGAAAAAATCTCTTTTGACAAAACACCCCCTTAATCAAACATTTAATAAAAAAGAGAAATATTTTAGAAAATATTAAAGTTCCCCCTTTTTCATTCTTGATATTAAATTTTTCAAACATATACTTCTTCCCCTATTTTTATATAAAAAATAATTCAACCTTTAAGGTTCAAAAATAAAAATGGAGAGTAAGTAGAAATTTTAACATAAAAGTAATTTGAAAAACAAAGCCCTCAACAAATGCATTCCAAAAAATGACTATAAAAGAAAATCATTTTCAACTTTAAATCTTGAAATCAAATTTCTTATATTTGGAATTCAGGGTCTCAAATTCCAAAAATAATTCTTCATAAGCTTCATGTAACTCTTTAAATGAATAAGAATTTAAATCATAAGAGTTAGAAGTTACCTTGGGCTCTTCAAGAGCCATTAAACACACTACATTTGGTGGTTCTTCTTTCTTGTCACCATAAAGTTCTTCTACCTTATCCCAAAGCTCTTTGGCATTAGAACATGAAGAAACTCCTTCATATACATCAGGACCAAATGCATAAAATAAAATTTACATGGCCATGGAGTTTTGTTGAGATTTATTCCGTTCTTGGGTACACCACGCCTTCTTCTTTATTGGAGAAGACTAGACATTCATTATTATCTCCCATGCTCCAAGATAAAATGGATTAAATGAATAGTTTCATTAATTTCTTCCAATAACCATAATTAGCTCCATTGAAGTACGGAGGCTTGTCGATCGATCGGGTGTTCTCCATGTAAAATGAATTGGATGTGGAAGCCATCTTATCGGTTGTGTCAAACATGTATAGAGCTTCTTCAATGATCACCTCAAGATGTTGTTAAACCTTCCAATAGTTAAGCTCTGATACCAACTGTTAGGATTTCTGTTGCTATATCGATCAACCAAAAATGGTTCCAAGAGGTGATGAATTGACCAAATAAAAATTTTGGGAGTATATAGAGAAAAGATAGACAATTTGCACAATAATTTAGAGTAGTTCAACTTTTCAACCAAGTCTACATCCACTACCTTAGCTCCACATAAAAGATTTTTTAACAAATTCACTAATTTATTCTTTCTTTTTCTAGGCTCAAGGGTAACCTTTTACAACTCCCTAATTTTCAATGGCTAAACTAGAACCAAACCCTTTTTACAAAAGGATAAAGAAAATTTTAAACAATAAACCTCTTAAAGGAATGTGTTTACCCAATTAAGCTCACTAAAAACACTTATATACAATAAAAAATGAAAAATAATAATGAAATAGCTTTTCTCTTGCTATGGATTGCTTGGATAGGTATTGTAACCTTCTTCAGGTTTCTTTAACTTCTTTTTATGTGTTGGAATGAGTTTTAGCCGTTGGGGATTAAAAACCTGCAAAATAAAACAACCCAAACCAGGTAGTAATGGTACTTGGGTGGTGAGTATCGATATTGAATTAATAAAACTAGTCATTTATGTCCATTGAGTTGGGAATATCAATAATAAGGTTTATAGTATCTATAGTACTATAAGTAGTATTGATAATCCTTTGAGTATCGGTACCAATTTTGCATAATGGAATCTAAACACACTTAAACTAATATGCATTATCGGTACTGCCATAAGAGTATCGATAATTCCCTTACCTTGGGTATCGATACTATAAGAACAATATTTATATTGTTCATGTGGTATTGATACTGTAAGAACAGTATTGGTACCTTTTTTCTATAAAATCATTTTTGTATTCAAATTCAAGTTTTATGGACTTTGAATTTTTTTGAAAACTTCGAATAAATTCAATCAAGTTCAAAAATATTTTTCCCTTAAATTTGTTATATCAAAATAGGTTCAACAGTGCCCCCTTTTTTATATAACAAAACATTCAAAAATTGTTTTTGGAAAAACTACCCCTTAATAAAACATTTAATGAAAAATAGATATATTTTGGAAAATATTAAAGCTCCCCATTTTTCATTCTTCAAATTGATTTTTTCAAACCTATACTTATTCCCCTTTTATATACAAAAAATAATTCAAACATTAAGGTTCAAAAATAACAATGGAGAGTGAGTAAAATTTTAAAATAAAAGTCATTTGAAAAATCAAAGCTACCCCTCAACAAATGCATTCCAAAAAAATGACTTTAAAAACTTGACACTTAAAAACTATTGAATTTCAACAAAGATGAACAAACATGTTAGTAACATATAAAATTTAATAAATTCAAGTCTAAACTACTTTATGCAATATTAAAATGAGGCACTAAAGTTCATATACATAAATATATCCAAAAATGTTATGCATTTCAAAACTTGATATCAATTGTTATAGAGATATCATTTGCAATAAAATCACATGCATAAACATTTAGAACTAAGGTCAAAAATTAAAATTTGTTAAAACAAAACATAAAACCAAATTTGACCTAAAATCATTATTAAGAAAAAATATTTATGAAAAATCATTAAACCTTTAAAATGTCCATCATAAAATATTTGAACATACAAAGGATAGAAAAACAAAACAAATATAATCATTTATGCTCAAAAACTCATCCATGCAAAAATAAAATAGGCAACCAATTATACAAAATCAAAAAAATTAAGTTTAGAGGGTACCCATTCCTCATCAAGTGTGGCTAGAGCATTTGAATATCTTCACTTTTGTCATCATTACTCTCACACTCCTACAAGAGATATTTATTTGGATTTAGGTATCCAAATTACTTTGGATCCTTGATTGTTAGTGTTAACGCCCCTTTTTCGCTTAAGAACTCATATTTGTCTAATTTTAAAATGTTTTCTAAGTTTTAAAGGGAAATATGTTCCGTGTGACCATGAAAATAACAATGATAGTATTTTAACATTTTTTAAAAATGATTTATGTTTCTTT